CATCGAGCTCCAATCAATCAACGCCCTCACCCACAGTCAAAGGTAGCATGACATGCAATTTCTCCTTCACTGATTGTTTCATTGATCTGATGCAGTGATATTAGCACACACTTTTTCACTTGTACTGAAAGTTCACTTGAGTGTTTCTCTTCCTCTTCCAGCTAAATCACCAAACCAGGCCAACGGTCATGCTACCAAGACGCAACCAGGACCTATTTCTCAGGTAAATACCACTTCATCAGAAGGGAAGCACTGGTTAGCCGTTATTGTGACTGTTTTTATAGTTTAGTCTATAAAAACAAACCATGCATAAGACAAACTGAAGCTAGCTCCTACATTTCCCATAATGCCATCAACACCATTTATCAAGTACAACCCCTCTCCTCTTCTTTTGTTTAAGAATCTTTTCCCTTCCTGTCAATCTTATATCTTTAAATTTTATTCTAACTTATCAGAATCCAGCTCCACCACCACCACCACCATTAGCCGAGATCCTCCCCCCACCACCTCCAGACCCAGTGCTCCCTCCTCCTCCTCCTCCCATGGCTGCCAAGACTGCTTCAAAACCCACCCCCCCAAAGCGGAATCAGCCAAACAACTTTCCTCCACCTCCACTTGATATGGACAATCTCCCTCCTCCACCACCACCTCCACCCACTGACGACCACTTAGAGGCTCCGCCAGACTTTCTTCCACCACCTCCTCCAGCTACTGGCTTTAGTTCACTGCCACCACCACCTCCTAGTTTTGGTGGCGTGCACCACTCTCTGCCCCCGCCACCACCAGATCCAGTGTCTTTGCCACCACCTCCACCTGACCCAGTGTTTGTAGCTTCTGGGGCTCCACCACCACCTCCACCACCTCCTCCACCACCACCTGCTGCTCCTGTCGCCACCCTAAGACCAGCTGTGAGGACTTCTGGGTCATTGAAGAAGGTTCCTCCGGCTCCACCAAAGAGGACTGCACCAACGCAAGGAGGCGGAGGAGGAGGAGGTGGAGACTTCATGTCAGAACTGATGCTAGCCATGCAGAAGAAGCGTGCAGACCAGTAGCCTGAACAGAGAACTTGTGGAGTATAAATACAGAATGAACTATGCCTGCACAGCCAACAACTTAATCAGCCGTTTCTCAAAAATGAAGCTAGTGGAGTTCTCTGTAGATTTCTCCTTTTAGGCATTCATCCTTTTTCTGAACAGCTTCCAAGACAAAAACGAGTTAACCTTTGAAAAAAAGTTCAGTTTTAAAAAAGCATTTGAAAACGTTGGGCTCAAAAAGACTATTACAGCTTGCTTTGTCATGCTGTTATCGTACTTCCATATTGTATATATATATTTGCATACATAGCTGTAAATACTGTAAAAACACAGTCATTGTGTTACCAGTAAATATACAAGTTAGATAGTTTGTTTTCATTTGACTCTTCAACCCACCTAAATAAACCCTTGAATCTCCTGGCTGTGCTGCACCATCAAGATCTGTATTATTAAAATATGTTGTTGCTTTGCTGGACAAGTCGTCAGTCTGCCGCAGCGCCAGCACAGTCTAGACCTCGTGGACATGGCTAAATGCTGTGCTTCCTCCCCTCAGACAGGCTTTTACAGTAACAACCTGCAGTCGGTGCTTGTTTGTGGATCTCTTTGCCTTTTGGAGCAAATATATTGCACAACAAATGACACATCCCACCAAAATATGCTACAAGTTTTTTATTAGGAGGTCACTCATGACGAACAGCTGACCTTTAACCTGCTAGCCCACTGTGGAGGTCTTGCTGCATAGCCCACCTCCTCTGCAGTCTCTTGTGTAACAAAGGGTGAGGACAGGATGTTGTGCAGCAGCTCCACCTAGTGGTAAAGTGGTAAAGTAAACTGTAGTAGAAAAAAAATCATAAACAACTTCGGGTGTCGTTTTATTTGTTTTGTGTGACAGATCCTTTTATCAGACACATACCTCGGAAAAGTCATTCCTCTCAGCTTTCCTTATTGCAGACTCTGCCATCCAGTTCCTCAGCACATATCTGGGATTTACATCTGTAAAACATTTAATCCAATCAGATGTTTCTGTCACCACTGCATAACAAACATCTAAGAATATAAATATTTATATCCCTCATCGTTTAATCAACATGATGATTTAGTTACAGTTTGATTTACTTTTCATCCTGTGTTGACGATCCAAATCGCTATCATCCTGCTGTCTGAACAGAAACAGAGGAAAGAGATTAATTCACAGCAACAAACATCCTGATGTCACACAAATGTAAATAAGTAAATTCAAAATGACCTCTCGTGACCTTCCTCACCTACTGAGC